CTCCCCCTTATCACAGCGGGACCATCCCAGAGATCTCCTCCCTATCACAGCGGAACCATCCCAGAGATCTCCTCCTTATCACAGCGGGACCATCCCAGAGATCTCCCCCTTATCACAGCGGGACCATCCCAGAGATCTCCTCCTTATCACAGCGGGACCATCCCAGAGATCTCCCCCTTATCACAGCGGGACCATCCCAGAGATCTCCTTATCACAGCGGGACCATCCCAGAGATCTCCTTATCACAGCGAGACCATCCCAGAGATCTCCCCCTTATCACAGCGGGACCATCCACTTGGTGATGTGCAGCTTGGATGCAGCTGCTCCGCCCCCATTCCATGAAGCTCTCTACGCACTGTTGTTGTGCCAATCTGACGGCCGCATGGAGTTTGGAGGTCTGTAGCTATTGGCTCTGCAGACAGTTGGCGACTTCTGCGCACTGTGCGCTTCAGCATGCGCTGACCCCGCTCTGTCATGTGATGCGGCCGACCACTTCCTGGCTGAGTTGCTGTTGTTCCCGGTCGCTTCCACTTTGTTATAATCCCAGTAACAGGCGACCGCGGAATATTTAGTAGCCGGGAAATGTCACGGACGGACTTATTGCGCAGGTGACAACCTATCACGGCGCCGCGATTGTAGTCACCGAGCTCCTGAGAGCGACCCGTTCTCTCACCGATGTCTGTAGAAGCGTCTGCACGCCAAGGTGCCTCGTCCTATACACCGGGGGCCACGGAGGGGATTGGAGGACCTGGAGGGGGAGGGGCCCAATACTTTTGGCAATATAGTGTATTTCTATCCCTCTCGGTGGGGTGGAGATGACCCATCTATAAGGATATACAACACAGAGCAGAAGGCCGTGGTCACACTAGGAGATGGGGCTGCAGTTCCTCTGAGCTCCACTAGGTGGTGATCTCACCTATAACCAGACAGGAAGTCTCTATGGAAAAAGGAAGTGATGTAAGAGTATAAATAGGAAGTTCCGGGTGAGTTGGGAGGAAGTAGAGAGGAGACATTGCTGGAAGTGGCAGCAGAGGAGATAAGAAGGTATTATTTTATGTATACACCCAATAACCCCTCCCCCCCGTCATGTCCGTCCTCTCTCTCTTTATCCAATGCACAAAAATAATACCATTTAGCGGGGGAGGGTCTATAAGGACAACACCAAAACAATCCAGAATTCCTTTACCATAACACGATTCCGGCAAACGATTTACCGGGATTCCCCTCCACATCATGACCAGACCCTTATCACCCATGGGAGCAGTGTGGGCTGTAAGGGAGGAACCCACCAAAGAGCATCGGGCTTCCCCCTCAAAGTACACACCAGACCCTCCCTCGTCCTTGATACGGGTCTGGTTTGGGATTTTTAAGGGGGGACACCGTGTTGAGGTGGACAAGGGCCTCCTCCCACAACCCTGGCACGGGGAATGTGGGATTCTGAAGGGGGCACCTATCAGAATCTGGAAGCCCTTTGAAAAGAAGGGCCCCCAGATATCTGACCCCCTCCCCCGTAAATAAAGTGAGGGGCACACATTCTGAATTAGGAATGTTTGCCAAATTCATTTATTAATCAAAACCAAAATCCCGTCCAGTGGTGTCAATCCAACGTCGAGGCTTCCAGCCATGTAGATCCACCTGGGTCACAATGAGCCCCCCCATGCCAGTGCCCAGCCCCAAAGATTGCAATGTGGCCTCAGAGAAGACCATAAAGAAAGTGGTGACGGTATCATTGTGTGTGTCAGGTTCCTATAAGGTGTCAGGATGTCTCTGTCTATCTCTCCATGGAGGAGTGGGAGTATCTAGAAGGACACCGGGATCTCTACGAGGACGTGGTGATGGAGAATGCCCCGCCCCTCACATCACCGGGTAAGAGGAGAGAGCAGTACGGAGGCTCCGCCTACATCCCCCATCATCTGATACACACATAGAAACAATGTATTCAGTCAGTGTGTGTGTTTCCTACAGATGGATCCAGTAAGAGGAACCCACCAGAGAGATGTCCCCGCCCCCTGTATTCCCGGGACTCCACCCAGGAAGATCTCACCATCCCCCACCATGAGAGATGTCCCCGTCCCCTGTATTCCCGGGACTCCACCCAGGAAGATCTCACCGTCCCTCACCATGATCAGGTAGATGATGGACAATCACTGGAGGTATCTCTGGGATCTGGAGATTATCTACATTGTTACAATTTATCTTTATTATATATTCAGAGACATTCTAAAGTTGATGTTAAAGAAGAGATCAAAGAGGAGGAGGATGATGAGGATGTAGTGACGGAGGAGTCAGAGTTCCCCAAAGGACACCAGGAGAACATGGAGGAGTCTTCCATCTACTGGAACCCACGAGAGAGTTGTCCCCGTCCTCTGTACTCCCGGGATCCCACCCAGGAAGATCTCACCATCCCCCGCCATGATCAGGTCGGTGGATAGGACACTACAAGGACTCCATACCTAATGAAATGAGAAGTATCTCTGTAGTGTCGGGTTATTGGTGGTCACATGACATTAGTTTCTCTCCTCTTGTTGGTTTAGCGTGAAGAACAGATGTATATAAAAGTTGAAGTGAAAGAGGAAGAAGAGGAGACGCATGTGACGGATTATCAGCAGAGTACGGAGGAGGTCGGGATGAGGGCAGAGATGAAACAGGAGGAACCTTCTCTAGATACCATCACAGGTGAGTCATGAACTCAAAATACAGAAACTGGTCAGATATATGGAGTGATGATCGAGGATCTGGAGACCTTCATAGATGATCTCAGTGTTCTAATGGAGGACCAGCCGCCCCTCACATCACCGGGTAAGAGGAGAGATCAGTACCCACAGTGCTTGCATGTGACCATAAATCCAGGCCTGTGGTCACTTGTTCTGTGGTGAAGGGTCTTCAAGTCTGAACTTTGAAGTACTTGTTCCTCAGAGATCACATGACCCAGTGCCTAGGCTTGTGGTTGGGTGAAGAGCATGCTCCTCCCAGTCCCCATTGGCTCCTCCTCTTCTGACAAGGCTGTGTCCATGTAGAAGTGATCTGGGAGGAGGCCCTTTGACTGAAGAGGGGAGGAGTCCCGGCTGGTTTGGACCTCCTCATAGAACATCTGCTCCCTCAGACCTCCTGATCCAGATGGAATGTTGAGTGAAGTCATCTAACCCTCTCATATCTCTCCATCATGTGTTTCTATGTTTCCAGGACATGTCATGGAGGAACCCTCAAAGGATCGTCTGACTTTATCTCCAGGTTGTAAGATGGAAGATGAGGACATCACAGCAGATTGTGCGGGAGAAGAGACAATGAGCTCAGCTATGGATGGTGGACCTCACAGTGTGGATAGACCATGGAATCCCTCTGACTCTGAGCGACCTCGTCCTGTGGGGGATGGGGCCGGAATTCAGGAGAAGACATTTTCCTGTCCTGAGTGCGGAGAATGTTTTAGCTGTGAGTTAGGTCTTTCTATACATCAAGCTTCACATGCCTATGATAAGGTTCATTCCTGCTCCGAGTGCGGGAATAGTTTCAATTTTAAATCCGAACTGGTCGCACACTACAGATCTCACACGGGGGAGAAGCCATATTCCTGCCAAGAGTGTGGGAAGTGTTTTTCACGGTCATCAGCTCTTTACAGACATCAGAGGTGTCACACGGGTGAAAAGCCGTGTTCCTGTACAGAGTGTGGAAAATGCTTTCGTCATAAATCGGAACTGGTCCAACATCAGAGATCTCACACGGGGGAGAAGCCGTATTGCTGTTCTGAGTGTGGGAAACGTTTCTCACAGAATGCCTATCTTTCCAGACATCAGAAATTACACCGAGACGAAAAGCCGTACTCCTGTCCCGAGTGTGGGAAAAGCTTTGCTACTAAATCTAAACTGGACATACATTGCAGATCTCACACGGGTGAGAAGCCGTATTCCTGCCCCGAGTGTGGAAAAAGTTATTCAAGTACGTCGATGCTTTATAGACATCAGAGATTACACACAGGTGAGAAACCGCATTCCTGCCCTGAGTGCGGGAAATCTTTTATTCAGAAATCTGAACTTGCCACGCATCAAAGATATCACACAGGGGACAGGCCGTATTCCTGTCCTGAGTGCGGAAATCGTTTTCTGTGGAAATCGGAACTCGTCAGACATCTGAGGTCTCACACGGGCGAGAAGGTGTTTTCCCACCGAGTGCAGGAGATGTATTTTTCAAAACTCGGCTCTGGTGATACATCAGTGGTGCCACAGGGGGGAGAAGCCGCATCCTTGTCTTGAGTGTGGGAAAAATTTCACAGTCCAAAACCGTAGAGAAACCACACAACCCTCGCAGTATTAATGTCCGGGGTGTGGGAAATGTATCACAGTCCAAACACCAGAGAAACCACCCAGCCATCACAGTGTTAATGTCCGGGGTGTGGGAAATGCATCACAGTCCAAACTCCAGAGAAACCACCCAGCCATCGCAGTATTAATGTCCGGGGTGTGGGAAAATGCATCACAGTCCAAACACCAGAGAAACCACCCAGCCATCGCAGTATTAATGTCCAGGGTGTGGGAAATGTCATATAGTACATACAAGACTTCACATTTCATATTTAAATTGCATATATATATATATTAACATTTTATTTTAACTATAATCCTAAAAAAAGATTAAAATTCATGTTCTTATAATGATGATATTCCTTGTAAGTTGATTGATAGAAGTTGCCTTCAGATCACATCTACTGGACATCATTGGACATCACTTCCTCGTCTTTCCAAATCCCAATGAACATAAAACGAACAAGAATTCAATAAATGGATAAAAATCTGCTCTTAAAAGGAAATGACATAAATCAATATGAATGAGAAGGACACCCATACACAACATGGGACCTGGGAGGTCCACCAACCATCCCGCCCCGGTCACGCCGTCCTCCTTTAATGAGAAGATGCAACACAGGCCTCTGAGGGAGTGAGGAGAACGTCTCACCCCGAGATGAAGAGTTTACCAACGAGAGGTTCCTCCACACCCTCATCCAGAGGCCTCCCGAGGATCCCTCACCTTCCTCAACACCCCAAATGTTCCCAACATCACCCAGAAGATTGTGAACCATCAACAGGGGGGGGGACTTTCCAGGGTTGGTGTGGAACCATGCATTCCACGTGAAGGAAAAGGGGTGTATGCAAATCGCGTCAGCAATGCCCCGGGTGGTGGTAACGGGGTCTGGGCACCCCGATACGAAGTCGGAAATTCCATCAGTTTGTGGCAATTCATCGCTTCCGGTTACAATCGGATCACGTGAGGACTTACCTGTTACCTCCCGCAGGGTCTAGCGCCGTCGGGTGGTCTCCTTGTGCAGCGCCGATGCCCAACGGCTGCTGTGTGCGGTGACCGCTGGTTCCGTCGTCCAGAGCTGTACAGGAAGAGACGAGCGCTGGACCGCCTCTTAAAGGGACATAGCGCGCCCCTCCAAGGAAGTGGTCCGCCCCCCGGAAATGACATCATCTCATTGCCAACAGGTATAGAAGCCGGAAGGGCGAGTCATTCTGTGCTCGATTATCGTTAGGCTTGTTCTTCGAGTGCCCGGCGTTATACCTGCTTCTGATTCCTATTACCGACCCCCCCTGGCCTGTTCCTATGACCCCCCATACTCTGCCCCCCGACCTCTGCTACGTCCAACGACTACGATTCCTCAAGCTTTCAGTGACCCCTGATGACCAAGTGGTTTCTTCAGTCCTCCCTTTATGGCTGTTGTATGGTCGTCATGGCACCATGAAGCACTAAGTACCCAGGCCTAGCTGTGTTTAGGTGTCCGTCATGAAACCCTAAGGAGAAGTCTAACAGCCGACACACCGGACGGCCTCCTCCACCCCAAAAATCGAAAAGGCCTGAGAACGACCCAATGACCTTTAGTTGGTCCTCAGCACAAGCATACTAGCCAGAGGTCAAGAAACCCCCATTACCCCTTCAGGCGGGAGGGAGTTACACCTCACAAGTATGTCACGTATGGTATCTATACATTTCATGACGCGCAAGAACCTCTTGTTTATCGTGAGGTAACATGTGAGTGAAAATATGGCTATTGTTATGAATTGGACAGTTTGGGAGGGGCCCAGGGGGAAGGTCATGGAGTGCTCAGACCTTCTGCTTCACCCTCCCTCATCTTTCTGATTGGGTGAGGGGCTGGCTCAGTGACACGCTCTAGAGGGCCCAAGAAAAGCTGCTGCACAAAGCAGCGAGGAAGCTCTTGTTTTTAGCAATATGAAAAGCTTGTTGACATCAAGGACCGAACCTCTGCCTTAGTGTGAGAGAGATCCAGATCCAACCGGATCTCCTGTCCCAGGAACCTCCTGCACCTAACTATACTAGGACAGGAACCGGATCTCATGTCCCAGGAACCTCCTCTACCTAACGATATGAGGACAGGAACTGTATCTCCTGTCCCAGGAACTTCCTCCACCTAACTATATGAGGACAGGAATCGGATCTCATGTTACAAGAACCTCCTCCACCTAACTATATGAGGACAGGAACCAGTTCTCATGTCCCAGGAACCTCCTCCACCCAACTATATGAGGACAGGAAACGGATCTCCTGTCACAAGAACCTCCTCCACCCAACTATATGAGGACAGGAAACGGATCTCCTGTCACAAGAACCTCCTCCACCCAACTATATGAGGACAGGAAACGGATCTCCTGTCACAAGAACCTCCTCCACCCAACTATATGAGGACAGGAAACGGATCTCCTGTCACAAGAACCTCCTCCACCCAACTATATGAGGACAGGAAACGGATCTCCTGTCACAAGAACCTCCTCCACCCAACTATATGAGGACAGGAAACGGATCTCCTGTCACAAGAACCTCCTCCACCCAACTATATGAGGACAGGAAACGGATCTCCTGTCACAAGAACCTCCTCCACCCAACTATATGAGGACAGGAAACGGATCTCCTGTCACAAGAACCTCCTCCACCCAACTATATGAGGACAGGAAACGGATCTCCTGTCACAAGAACCTCCTCCACCCAACTATATGAGGACAGGAAACGGATCTCCTGTCACAAGAACCTCCTCCACCCAACTATATGAGGACAGGAAACGGATCTCCTGTCACAAGAACCTCCTCCACCCAACTATATGAGGACAGGAAACGGATCTCCTGTCACAAGAACCTCCTCCACCCAACTATATGAGGACAGGAAACGGATCTCCTGTCACAAGAACCTCCTCCACCCAACTATATGAGGACAGGAAACGGATCTCCTGTCACAAGAACCTCCTCCACCCAACTATATGAGGACAGGAAACGGATCTCCTGTCACAAGAACCTCCTCCACCCAACTATATGAGGACAGGAAACGGATCTCCTGTCACAAGAACCTCCTCCACCCAACTATATGAGGACAGGAAACGGATCTCCTGTCACAAGAACCTCCTCCACCCAACTATATGAGGACAGGAAACGGATCTCCTGTCACAAGAACCTCCTCCACCCAACTATATGAGGACAGGAAACGGATCTCCTGTCACAAGAACCTCCTCCACCCAACTATATGAGGACAGGAAACGGATCTCCTGTCACAAGAACCTCCTCCACCCAACTATATGAGGACAGGAAACGGATCTCCTGTCACAAGAACCTCCTCCACCCAACTATATGAGGACAGGAAACGGATCTCCTGTCACAAGAACCTCCTCCACCCAACTATATGAGGACAGGAAACGGATCTCCTGTCACAAGAACCTCCTCCACCCAACTATATGAGGACAGGAAACGGATCTCCTGTCACAAGAACCTCCTCCACCCAACTATATGAGGACAGGAAACGGATCTCCTGTCACAAGAACCTCCTCCACCCAACTATATGAGGACAGGAAACGGATCTCCTGTCACAAGAACCTCCTCCACCCAACTATATGAGGACAGGAAACGGATCTCCTGTCACAAGAACCTCCTCCACCCAACTATATGAGGACAGGAAACGGATCTCCTGTCACAAGAACCTCCTCCACCCAACTATATGAGGACAGGAAACGGATCTCCTGTCACAAGAACCTCCTCCACCCAACTATATGAGGACAGGAAACGGATCTCCTGTCACAAGAACCTCCTCCACCCAACTATATGAGGACAGGAAACGGATCTCCTGTCACAAGAACCTCCTCCACCCAACTATATGAGGACAGGAAACGGATCTCCTGTCACAAGAACCTCCTCCACCCAACTATATGAGGACAGGAAACGGATCTCCTGTCACAAGAACCTCCTCCACCCAACTATATGAGGACAGGAAACGGATCTCCTGTCACAAGAACCTCCTCCACCCAACTATATGAGGACAGGAAACGGATCTCCTGTCACAAGAACCTCCTCCACCCAACTATATGAGGACAGGAAACGGATCTCCTGTCACAAGAACCTCCTCCACCCAACTATATGAGGACAGGAAACGGATCTCCTGTCACAAGAACCTCCTCCACCCAACTATATGAGGACAGGAAACGGATCTCCTGTCACAAGAACCTCCTCCACCCAACTATATGAGGACAGGAAACGGATCTCCTGTCACAAGAACCTCCTCCACCCAACTATATGAGGACAGGAAACGGATCTCCTGTCACAAGAACCTCCTCCACCCAACTATATGAGGACAGGAAACGGATCTCCTGTCACAAGAACCTCCTCCACCCAACTATATGAGGACAGGAAACGGATCTCCTGTCACAAGAACCTCCTCCACCCAACTATATGAGGACAGGAAACGGATCTCCTGTCACAAGAACCTCCTCCACCCAACTATATGAGGACAGGAAACGGATCTCCTGTCACAAGAACCTCCTCCGCCCAACTATATGAGGACAGGAACCGGTCCTCATGTCACAAGAACCTTCTCCACCTAACTATACGAGGACAGGAATCGGATCTCATGTCCCAGGAATCTCCTCCACCTAACTATATGAGGACAGGAACCGGATCTCATGTCACAAGAACCTCCTCTATCTAACTATATGAGGACGGGAACTGGATCTCATGTCACAAGAACCTCTTCCACCCAACTATATGAGGACAGGAACCGGATCTCATGTCACAAGAACCTCTTCCACCTAACTATATGAGGACAGGAACTGGATCTCATGTCCCAAGAACCTCCTCCACCCAACTATATGAGGACAGGAACCAGATCTCATGTCACAAGAACCTCCTCTACCCAACTATACGAGGACAGGAACTGGATCTCATGTCCCAGGAACCTCCTCTACCCAACTATATGAGGACAGGAACCAGATCTCATGTCACAAGAACCTCCTCCACCTAACTATATGAGGGCAGGAAATGGATCTCATGTCGAAGGAACCTCCTCTACCCAACTATATGAGGACAGGAACCGGTCCTCATGTCACAAGAACCTCCTCTACCCAAGTATATGAGGACAGGAACCGGTCCTCATGTCACAAGAACCTCCTCTACCCAACTATATGAGGGCAGGAAATGGATCTCATGTCCCAGGAACCTCCTCTACCCAACTATACGAGGACAGGAACCGGTTCTCATGTCCCAGGAACCTCCTCCACCTAACTATATGAGGGCAGGAACTTGATCTCATGTCCCAGGAACCTCCTCCACCTAACTATATGAGGACAGGAACCGAATCTAATGTCCCAGGAACCTCTTCCACCTAACTGTATGAGGACAGGAACCGGTTCTCATGTCCCAGGAACCTCCTCCACCTAACTATATGAGGACAGGAACCGGTCCTCATGTCACAAGAACCTCCTCCACCCAACTATATGAGGACAGGAACCGGATCTCATGTCCCAGGAACCTCCTCTCCTAACTATACGAGGACAGGAACCAGTTCTCATGTCCCAGGAACCTCTTCCACCTAACTGTATGAGGACAGGAACCGGATCTCCTGTCACAAGAACCTCTTCCACCTAACTGTATGAGGACAGGAACCGGATCTCCTGTCACAAGAACCTCTTCCACCTAACTGTATGAGGACAGGAACCGGATCTCCTGTCACAAGAACCTCTTCCACCTAACTGTATGAGGACAGGAACCGGATCTCCTGTCACAAGAACCTCTTCCACCTAACTGTATGAGGACAGGAACCGGATCTCATGTCACAAGAACCTCTTCCACCTAACTATATGATGACAGGAACCGGATCTCCTGTCACAAGAACCTCCTCTATCTAACTATATGAGGACGGGAACTGGATCTCATGTCACAAGAACCTCCTCCACCTAACTATATGAGGACAGGAACCGGATCTCCTGTCAGAAGAACTTCCTCCACCTAACTATGTGAGGACAGGAACCGGATCTCATGTCACAAGAACCTCCTCCACCTAACTATATGAGGACAGGAACTGGATCTCATGTCAGAAGAACCTCCTCCACCTAACTATATGAGGACAGGAACTGGATCTCATGTCAGAAGAACCTCCTCCACCTAACTATATGAGGACAGGAACTGGATCTCATGTCAGAAGAACCTCCTCCACCTAACTATATGAGGACAGGAACTGGATCTCATGTCAGAAGAACCTCCTCCACCTAACTATATGAGGACAGGAACTGGATCTCATGTCAGAAGAACCTCCTCCACCTAACTATATGAGGACAGGAACTGGATCTCATGTCAGAAGAACCTCCTCCACCTAACTATATGAGGACAGGAACTGGATCTCATGTCAGAAGAACCTCCTCCACCTAACTATATGAGGACAGGAACTGGATCTCATGTCAGAAGAACCTCCTCCACCTAACTATACGAGGACAGGAACCGGATCTCCTGTCACAAGAACCTCCTCCACCCAACTATATGAGGACAGGAACCGGATCTCATGTCACAGGAACCTCCTCTACCCAACTATATGAGGACAGGAACTGGATCTCATGTCACAAGAACCTCCTCACACTTGGAGATGTTTCTCTGCACTGCAGTTCCTCTGAGCTCCACAAGGTGGTGATCTCACCTACACCCAGACAGGAAGTCTCTATAGAAAGCAGACAGGAAGTGAAGTCAGGTATAAATAAGTAGCTCCAAGGGAGTCGGGAGGGAGCAGAGAAGAGACATTGCTGGAACTGGCAGCAGAAGAGGTAATGTTATTTTATATTTACACCCAGATACCCCTCCCCT